TTTTTCTTTTTTTGTAATCCACGATCGAATTTTTTGTTTTTTTTGTTTGTTTTTTTTGTTATCCATGATTGAATTTTATGTAATCCATGATCGAATTTTATGTAATCCATGATCGAATTTTTTGTAATCCATGATTGAATTTTTTGAAAATTTGTGATTTTTTTTTTTTAATCCATGATCGAATTTTTTTTTTAATCCATGATAGAATTTTTTGAAAATTTGTGATTTTTTTTTTTAATCCATGATCGAATTTTTTTCTATAATCCATGATAGAATTTTTTGAAAATTTGTGATTTTTTTTTTTTAATCCATGATCGATTTTTTTGAAAATTTGTTAATTTTTTTTTTAATCCATATTATTCAAAGAGAAAATGAGAGAGATGATGATTCTGAGGCCACCCTATCCCAGCCATATTATTCACATATCGAGTCCCAACAGCAACAGTGTAGGGATGAGCACGACAGTGCAGGTGAGCATGAAGGATGACAATCTTCGGGGATTTTAGATTGGGAACACAACAAAACACTAACACTTAGTGATTTGGGAATAGTCAGACGCCTGCTAATATCAATGATTCGTTTTTAGATCGAATCAATGAATTGTTAAAGGAATTCAATCAATGGCACCAGCGTGACCAAGAAGAACAATAACGTCGTCTATCATTTTATTTTTAGATCATATATTACTAATTTTATGCATTATTGTAGTCCATGTATGTTGATATACTTATTCCATGATAATTCTATGTTTATCCTTTTGTGTGATGTAAATTAAATGCTGAATGGCGGTTCATGTAGGGAAAGAACATATTAATATTCGCATATTCATTCAAAAACATGAAAATTCTTAATGGAGTACCCTCATTTCTTATTGAATTCCTAAAAAACAATATTTATAATGAATTTTAATAATTTTTTCGGATTTTTTTTAAGTTTTATTCTGACCGATTCACCCGATTCCCGATCCGAATCGCTGATTAGCCGATCCGGATCAGTTTTTTGAGAACCCAATCCGGGTCACCGATCCTTTTTTTAAACCATTGCTTAAAACCCATCTTAAAAATAAATTTATTAAGAAGACCGCATTTCTACATATGCGGGCTTGGCCGCATAAAAACCGGGTCCACGAAACATTGCACACTAGTTTGAAGTTAACATGTTCATTTGCAGGTCTATTTTTTCATCTACCCTTGACCACTTTGCACAGCTCTATGTGATAATATTGGAACCATTTTTATGGACAATCGAAGGTGCAAATACTTATGTTACTTCACATAAAAATAAAAAGTAGGATGCTAATAGACCAAATGTCTAATCCCCTCTACAAGCCATTTGAGCGGTGACATTTAGTATCTCTTAATTGAATTAAGATCATTTAGTTCATTAGGTAAAGAAGGTTATTTAGTGCTCAGTTGGAGCATTATTGACATTTTTGGAGTGGTACATGTACACAGTGAATAATGCTTTTGCAACTTATTTTTGAAAATATCCCGTTAGGGATATACTTTTTCGAACTCGTTAGGATTTGTTTTTAGAGTAATGATCCTATAAAACCCTCCCACACTCATGTGTGTAGAACCTCAAAGGATCACCATTAAATTTGACACAGATCTCTAAAAAAAGTATCACATGGGTGTAAGACTTGACTTTTTTAGGGGTTTTAAATTAAAGGGTTTTAACTTTTTAGGGATGGACAAAGTTTATAGAAGGCGTCAATTTTATACTATTAAAGCTAGGTGCACATGAAAAATCCTCTAGAAGAGAGTTCTCCAATGTTGGAAAACCTTCCAGTTGATCATCTCAACCTCGCGATGTATAGATTGAGAAAAAAAAGTATTTTAGGCTCTAAAAATAATTCGCTTATAATGAGTTATCTAGACCATCTATTTTTCAAGTTTTTTATAGATTTGCTCGATCAATATCATTTTTAGAATTTTAAATTTCATTACTAGGGATGAATATAGATTTTTAAGCAGCCATTATCAAATTTCAGACATCTAATCTACTTCTGCAAGAAAAATTTAGAGGTATGCCCTACTTCTACAATATCAAGAGGATGACTTATACAATCCTCATCCTTTTAATAAGCTTAGCATTTTTTAAGTTTACCAGGATTTTAGGGGTTGTTTGAAAAAGTAGGCTGAATCCTTAATGAGTTATTGATTTTAGTGGAGATAAAAATATGATTACGAATTTTGTTTGCATTAGGGTTTTTAATTCAATTAGAATTGATATTATTGGGAATTAGTACTTTTAGTTCAATTAGAATTAAGATTATTTGGGTTCTGAGAAAGGCCTTTTATTATAAATGGTTATTCCACCAGTATTTTCAAGGTACACAGCTAAGATTTTTAGGAAAATAGCATTAGAATTGAGAATTACTTGGGATTAGGATTTTTAATTCATTTAATACTAAGATTTATTGAGTTATACATTATTTTCAAAGTGTGTATCCAAGATCTAGAGCACCAAAGTTATACCTCTTTCACGAGAGAAAAGAGGCCCCAACATGCACATCTAAGGGCTCACCTTCGAATGCAATAAAACATGGGGTTCGTATATTTAAGTATGACTTTTTTTTCTCCCTTCTTTAATGTGGGACAAGATATTTAAAATATTTTTTTTTTCCACTTCTATTATTTTAAATAAATGTTATTGTCACTTATTTTCGGAATAGCAGTGGTACGGGTGAGAATGATGGTCACCTTTGCTTTTCAGCCTCAAAATATTATCCTTTTGGATTCTCTTATTTTTTGATGGACACAGTTTTTATGAGTCGTAGGACTTATATATAGATCTACGGCCCCTTTACATAATCAATTTTTGAGATAGATTTTGGACCTACTTTTTTTGGTATATATAATTTTCTAACATGGAGTACACATCCATCTTTAAGATGGACGTGGGATGCCTAAGGGGGCGAAATTGTAAGCATGAGTCCCCTGTCGTTACTTTTTTTTATATGAAGTTTCTATAGGGCCCAGGCTTTATGAGAAGAAAATAAAGCTTCACCTCAAATCCTCATCCCGAAAGTACTTTTGGAAACATAAATCTCTATGATGGCTCTAAAATTAATTTCCAACACCGAAAATAAAATTTCAAACTCAAAATATTAGATAGATCTTGAGGACATATGAACACTAATTTTTAAGGCGAAATGGGTAGTCTAGATAATTTATTATAATACACACTATTTTTAAAGCTTGAAACCCTCTTTTTAATATACAATCATAACACGATGATCCATTTAAAGTTTTTTCAATGCTTGAATTGTAATTTTCAATGAGTTATGAGGTGAGGCTTTACGTATTTTGATAGGGCTGCAGCCTTATCAATCAATTTTTCTTACTTATTATGCATTTACATATAAAAAAGAACGGATTGGTAAAGCTTTAAAATCAACAGGGATTGTGAGAAATACAAGAGTGGTAAAAGGACAACCAAAAAACCCAAAGAGAAGGAGAACACCAATTCATGCTCCCCAAAAAAACTTGATATCTGGTTTAGAATAAGTAGAATATTGGAAATCACGAACAAATTCTGCCAACCATTTCACAGTGGAAAACATGTAAATAATGCTTGGTGTTTGCATTCCAAAAAAACAAAAATAAATTACTTGGTCTTGGGTTCAACATATCGACTTGGGTAAGGGAGATAAGGGTTTGAACTCTCAACTTGTCCCAAAAAGCCAAGAGAAGATGACGTACTCCTTTTTTTCCTTTCTAAGGACATGGACATTGAATGTTATAAAAATGGAAGTACAAAATCTCTGAAAGGAAATTTACATAAAAAATATATTTTATTATAAGAATTTAAAAATACCCTCCTTCCTTTTATATTTGGAATTTTATACTATATTTTTTATACAAAAAAAATCACAATCACCATACGAATTCTGACAGCTTAAAATATGTCATATAATTAAAAAAATTTTATTTTGGTCTTTATGCCAGCCAATGACATACCCCTAACATCCGATTTCATATTTAATTATCGATAATGATTGGAACTTTCTTACACGAAGAGTAAAAATTCCATCCTCCTATACTTTACGCTTAAATCTCATTATTTGAAAGTGATTATTTAATTATATTTTTTATACATCTAATTAAGCTCAAATTCAATACGTCAATACCTCTCATCATCGCACACATGTAAAAATACAAACAAAAAATTAATTAGAAAAAATTAAAAGGCTAAAATACCCTTGAAATTTAAAGGGTATTATAGTAATTTTTTTGGAACCCCTTCCAAGATCATTAGGGTCATTTTAAAAGTTTCTAAATTCCCTTTGTTATGTTTTGGGAACGAGGAGCAATCATAGGCATTTGAATAATTTGAATGCTAAGCCCTCCTCATTATAAATATACACTATCTAGTATATTTAGTATCAGTAATAAAGAACAACTAGAGATATTTTTGTCATTTGACAGCCTAATATACAAATGACAAAAATATCCTAATAATTCCTCATTGCTAATACTAAACAGCGTATTTCTTATTTCTTATTTGTAACGCATGACAACTAAGGGAATTTTCATCATTCAAATGGGGCTTTATGGGGTCAAAAATATCGAAATACCCATTATTATTCCTCATTCCCGATACCAAAATAGGGCAATTTGGAGATTTTTTTTAGAAAGTACTTCATCAAAATGCCAAAAAAAAAAAAATTAAATGTTAATAGGGATGATTTGACCCCTTAAATGATCTCTTAAGGGTTCCAACTAAAATTAAAATGGGCGCTCTTGACAAGTGCGAATTGAGTCAAATATAAAATATAGATAATTATTTTGAAAATCTAATTAATCATGATAATTGAATAAAAAATCTCTTTATTGTCACCCGTTCACTTTTTAGCGTTTAGATTTTAAGCTTTTTTATAATGTTAATTTAAAGTCGTTGAGATAATGAAGGACACAACACAGACAAAAAGGAGAAGCATAAAGATACAACCAATAATGAGAAGAAAAGATCATGGATGAGCAGTCACCTCTGTAACCAAAGAAAAGGGGAGAAAACTATCTGCTTCCCCTAAAACAAAAAAGCAAACCTCACCCAAAATGGGCAGACTCTCCTTGTATAATCACTGTCTCAAATTCCTGAGAGAACCTTTTAACACCCTTCTTTAAGGCCAAAACTTATGTGCCATTGGCACCCCACCAATGAAGCTTGCCTTGATAAGTCCATATTACCTATCCCTGGTGGTCTCTCATCAGCCCCATAACCAGCTACCTTGCCATTGAGTCTCAACTTTCAAACCATTCCAAATATCCTACAGTCACTTTGTAAGAATAGGCGATTGTTAGTTTCCTCATCCTCTCTACATATTAATCAAGATCATCCCTCTACGTCTTCAGTTGTTCAATGGATAGAGTTTATCTCGACCCGCTAACCAGAGGATCTATTGGTCTATTTTTATTTTTATTTTTAATATTTCAAATAAACATCCATTTATTAATGATGATATCCAACAGACAAGAGTGGCAAAACAAAATTCGTGTAACCAACTGCAAATAGTTGGAATAAAGTTGACAATCATCCAATGCACAAGAGAGCAGATTCACCAATAAGTGGTCCTGAGATATCTAGGAGGCCAAGACGGTGGGGGGCTCAGAAAGTGTGATTCTTGGGGTGTTGGCTTGTATACCAAACACCCTTAAATGAAGTAATAGAACATTTAAAAAACAAAATTCTCTCACAACTTTTCAATCAGCTAAAAGAGTTCAGTTCTTCTTGTTCAGGTCCATGATTTGCTATTGCATGCAGCGACCTCTCTCTCACTCTCAAAATTTATCCATTAAACAGCTCAAGAGTTCAACTCATGTGGCATATGGTATGATTCTAATGCAAGTCCTTTGAAACAAAGTTCTTTGAGATAGTCATCTGAGATTAAAGCGTGAGTTTAACAAAGAGAACTACATTTAAAAAAAAAAAAGCTGAGAGTCTAACAAAGAGAATGAAAGAAAGCCAACAAATTGAAGTAAACTAAAGAAATAATAAAATAAAATGAAATTAGCGTTGGATGGCCTATATGAATATAGAGTATGTGGTGGTTCATAGCTGAAAGTCAACAGAACTATTGTAACTTCACCATTATCCACGTTGACAAGTTTCAAAACCATCAAATAATTGCTTAAAAACAACATCAGCCAATCTCAAATAATTGGGATAAAGCTTGGATGGAATAATAAAAGCCTGGAAGGAATAATAGACTTTGGGAGTTTCTCCTGAAACAAGCCAAACACCACTAGTGCTGCCAATGTTGGTAGAACTGAAGAGGGTAGCCAGTTTTCCATAGAGAAGCACTGAGAGATGATCTAGGTCTTGAGCAAAGTGGATACTGACATACTTTGGTATCAATTGAGATGATGGCAGTTTCCCTTCATGTCTCCAATCAGCTTGCTCTCCTTGGGTAGTTGATTGAGGGGAATTTGAACATATCATGGTTTAACTCTGCAAATTATTCCATCTTACAACCTTATCCATGAGGAAAGTTGGTCTCTACTAACGGCATCATGCTACACTTCCAATGAGTACAGTATTGGGGTACACATTCTAATAACAATTGTTCATACTTATAATGGGTGGTGAGTTAAGTAATTGTTCCCGCTAAAAGAAAAGCTTGGCTATAACAATGGGCAACAACTCATCACCCACCAGCATCAGTTAAACATATATAGTGGACATTGAGTCTGAATTATCTATTTCATGCTCATACAGAGTATAGAATATTTTCCCTAGTGCATTAAGAAGCAATTCAAGCGGCAGCTAGGAGCCAACAGGGGCAGATGCAGCAGAAATCCACTCTGGCTAGGCCAATGTAGAGAACCTCGGCCAACTGAATTCCAAGCACCTGCCTTGACAGGCCAGGTGTATGAATTTCCTAGGGCTCCTCAAAATATGAGGGCAGAAATTCCATAGGGAAGCTTTGGGGGGGTGAATGAAGGCCAAGAGAAGGGTTACAGATTCCATCATTGGCACTGTATCTTCGACCCCTATTTCGGGCCTAACATCAGGCTTAGCATCCAAATTAATTTCATTTTGACATCAAGGAATAAGCTTTCGAGTAAAAACCGATTCAAATCCAAACATTTTGATTTTCATACCTCACAAAAACCTTAAGGAAGCTTAAAGAAAAGGGTTTAAGATGTGTAAGGCTACAATTCACTTCCTTACATTGACAATCCATAATTACATAAAAAGGAAAGAGCTTTTCCCTCAATCCCTTTCAATTTCACAATGCCTTCTAGCGCACAAGCAAACATTCTGATCCAGAACTTATTCATTGCAACTTCTATAGAAAAAGCAACTAAGGCTGTTATTTATCAGTATAAGCAACACAAGCCAGTTGTACTGCCTAATGGGAATGTAGCCCTGTTTGAAAGAGCCTATTGCGTTGTAGGGTTGCCTTGCCCTCCCTGGACCCAAAAAAACCTTACTGGAAAAAAAAAAGGGAGGAATCCTGCACATATCAACTTAATACAAGTGTTTGATTTTTTCTGGATAGGTGTACACAAGTTCTTCAAGTTTTCAAAAGACAAAAAAAATGGTAGTTTTTTGGCCTTATCTCTAGGGAACTTCGGAATCCAGACAGCCTATCAATGCAATAGCAAATTATAAGTCCTCAAATATGGTGTTCCTACACAGTCTTACTGGAACTAAAGATGAGAAGGCTATGAGTAAGATGTGTGAACCCAAAGTGTTGTACCTCTTGAATAACTCTTTTCAAGCCCTCATGAGTGAGCAAATAGATGACAAATGAGATGCAAGATAAAACATCTGAGATTTGGGAGAATAAGCTCTTCCAGGGGAAAAACAAAAAATAAGGAGCAAATTTCACCTTTACATAGATCTGTTTAGTCAGAATTCTTTTGACGGATTGGAGGAAAGAAATGTAGAGAGTAATGGTGAAAATTTTGGCCATGACCCCCACAAAGCTTAGAAAATGGCACAAGTCATCTCAGAAAGAGAAAATCAACACTAAAATTCCGGTCAGTTCCACGAGGAAACGAAACAGACAGAGCTTCTCCGAGTCTTGAAAAACACAAAACACTTGGGACTCACTTGACTCCCAGAGAAATCACTATGTTCTGTAGACTTAGCCAGTATTTCTGAAATGCAAGTTTCAATGTTTACAGACTCCAAGAGTGAATGAGCTGAGAGCCAATTTGGCTGACTGCTACGAAAATTCTTAAACAAATTTGCTAAACACTGATTTTACTATAAAGATGTGTGTAATAGAGATGCTATCATATCCTCTTGCTTTATGTACCAGAGAGAGAGACCCACGCAGATAATTAAAGTTGTAACTGCATACACCTTTGTAACATGCAAGGACATGGTCCTCACATTATACATTTATTTGATATTAAGGGGTCGCCCTAAGATCCAAGCTAGCTCAGCAAAGAAAATAGAGAGGCATGTGCAGTTGTGCACATCCTTGCATTGCATGTAAAAAAGTTACTGTTTGGAAAAGTACCTGCAACTTTGTTATGCAGTAGTATAGTAGACTTCATCTTGCTCAATTTTTGTTGATGCAAGTCTCCCTATCCAATTCAAGACAATCAAAGATGATTTTCACTTGGCTCAATTCCAAGTAGTCCATATTCCAAAACTGCTTCCAAATTGAACCCCAAAAAAGCATGCCATTTTCAAATATGGAATTTTCAAACACCAACCTATGTTTTATAGTCAACAACTCTCATATCTTCTCCCAACTTACGATCCACTGGCTCTTGTATATGCTAACATTAATGATGTTCACATGATGTGACATTGATAATGATACCGAATGCCCTCAAAATACTTGCAAATATATGGAGAAAAAAATTTAAGAAATATAATACGAGAAAACCTAAGATTATGATACACATATACAAGCACCATATATGTATATCTATGTGAGATTGTGTATAGGAAAAAGATTCTATACCCCAAAAGCCAATACCAAGAAGCCAATGGGCCAAAACACCTAGCTAGGACATTTTAGCCACATAAATTATCCCAAACAATTTTTATTAACCTAGTGATCAATTCCCCCAAAGAATTGATAGTGAGCTCTCAAAACCTTTTCATCGTCAAACCAATGGACACTCCAGAGACACTGTTGGAGTATTATGCCTATCGTCAAACCCTACATTTCATTGTCAAATCGCCCCTCCTAACCAGTGTTGTATTATGTGTAAGTAGCACATGGCCAGCCCACCTAAGTCTACTTTCTCTCATCTGATTGCCTATTGGAGCCTCCCCTAACTTCCCTGATATGCATTTATTCTAAATTCTATTATTTCTTGTCTTGCCCCTCGTCATCTCAAAATCTTCATATCAACTATACTCATCATATTGATATATTGTTTCTTGACCACCCAATATTCCGCCCCATAAACCATGGCCGGTCTTATACTTTTCTTATAAAACTTCCCCTTCAGTTTTAATGGTATACGTAGCGATCACATAACACTCTAGATGCACTTCTCCACTTCGCTATAATTCTATGCACATCTTCCTCAATATCTCCGTTCTTTTATATATATATATCCAGACAAAATAAAAATGAAACTTATACCTTCAGTTTCACCCCAAAAGCAAAAAATAGAAACATCAGAATATGTTGCAATATTACAGCAACAAAATCTCAACCTATCCAAAGAAGAGCTCAAAAGGAAGCTCTGGAGCGCAATAGAAGATAACAATGGTTTTGATGGAAAAACTACTTTTGAAATCAAACGTTCTTTTACTATAAACATCTGTTATAGGTACCTTGAGTATATTCCATTTTTGGATCTGTTTTTCTATATTATCTATTATTACTTCTTCTCTATTATTAACACGTAGTGTATTACTAATAGTGGCTGACCTATTAGATAATGTTCTGATGAAATTTGACATTGTAGTTCGAGTCAACTGGAAACAGTCCCTACACTTTTCTGGCTCTTCCTGACCTTAGTGATCTTTAGGTCACAACGACTTTGAACTACTACTGCAGATTTCAAAATCTTATTTAATAGTTCGGTTTTCTACTAGAGATACAGTTAGACCACTGTAATGTTAACTAGGCTCTGATACCATATAGCGGAATATATCAAATAACAACAGAACACAGAGTAAACACATGAACATGAACTATGTAAGGCGCGTATAATAAAAACACAAATCAAAATTAATAATCAAAGCAAACTCACATTTCACAGATACAGAAGCTGGTAAATAATTTCAGCTGCTCTGGGATATAGTCAGGGGCTTGCTTCCAAAAGCAGTCGCACATACCAGTTTTAAGTCCTTACACTTTTACAGTAAAGAAACCAAATGGCTACGAGCAATACCGGATATACAATAGAGAGGGGACAGTAGAGAGGAGAGTAGAGAGACAAGACCGTAGAGAAGAGAGTAGAGAGAGAGGACTGTAGAGAAGACAGCATAGAGAGGACTTCAGACTCAGAAGGCAAATACAAGATATTGATATATCTCCCCTTCAAACACCAACAAGCACTCAAGCTCCTAATGCTAAATCCATATATTTAAAAACAGCATATATTCCTTTGTTGATTATAGAAAATGAACATCAGACAAAAAATCCGACTGAAATAGCTGCTTTATAGCTCAGGCAGCACATGCATCCTAATATGGGTGACAGATGTAGAGAATGGTACGAAAGTATCCTTATGGAAACAGGGTCAATTTTCATAGTTCATCATTATAGAAATAACGATACTGAAATAACATATTCAAAGTTCCAAATCAAAAAAGTTATTTCTTACAAAGAATGGGGACTGGATCCTTTAAAGCCAAGGATCATAAATACGAAAGGATTTAAAATTAAATCTTATCATTACTATGAATACATGGCTTGGGACGAAGTCTTCTCATACCAGAATACAAAAAAT